CCACACCCGCCTGGAGTCGTTGCCCCGGAAGCAGTCCTCAATCTTCCCCTTGTAGTCCATCTTGGCCCGCTTGATCCCCCGCTTCAGGTGGGCTCTGGCAGTGCTGTACAGCTCCCTCTCACCAGTACTGAAGGCGATGTCCCTCTCCCTGACCAGGCGCTGCACCTCTCCAGTCATCCACGGCTTCTTGTTGGGATGAACCCGGATGCGCTTATCCACAGTGACGGAGTCTGAACAGTGCTTGATGTATCCCAGGACCGATGATGTGTACTGTTCCAGGTCCTCATGCACGAAAAAACCCCAGTCGGTATTCTCAAAACAGTCTTGCAGCTGTGGAGTGGCGTATAAAGGCCAGGTTTTAATTGTCTTTATAGTGGTGGAAACACTTTTCGCTAGTGCTTTAGCTCTGTAGCCCCCTTTAATATTAGTGTAGACCTTGTCCAGTGTTTTCACCCCCCTCGTGGCACATTTAACATGCTGGTAGAGTCTGGGAAGCACTACCTTTAAGTTGGCATGGTTAAAGTCCCCCGCAATGATGTGGACAGCCTCAGGATTAGGGCTGTGCAATTTAATCGATCCTGCGATATATATCGATATTTAGTTTTCCGAGAAAGTATCGATATTTCAGCCGCGGGTATTGATACATTAAGTCTGATAACTGTGTTCGTTATTCTCGCGTCCAGTAGAGAAGCTTTAAAAAGGAGACTAATTGAGTCTCTGAGAAGGTTCAAATGTATACTTTAATTAATCGAGCAGAAGATGGTTCAGTCAGAAAAACAGCTGTGTTCTGGCTCTCAAGAGAGCGAGCTCCACCTTTCCAGCTGTTAAATATCCTCTGCTGGCTCCTCCCTGTGGGACGGTTGGTGCTGCTGGGGGCCGGCCCTCCACGTCTCCAATGTTTGTTGTTGAGCATAACAGAGGATTCAGACATTGTACATTAAATATATAACTAAACACGCCTTTTCTCCTCCTTATCTCTTTCATGACTTTTCATTTAATACATTTTAAACGCTGTAATCAATACTCCAAAAATACCTGACGGCTGGTATCATTTCCGGTAGTTCCGAATGTTGTCTCATGCTACCTGTAAAGGAATATTTTAGTCTTGTTAAAGTATATAGAGTTTAGTGACTTGTCCTCGGGAATCTGTTTAATGGTTAAAGTGTATTCCTGCCTGTAATGTGATCCATAGCTTCTCAGGAAGACACAGGTCAAGAGGTCATCTGATATCTTGTGGGGGGAGAAGCTTGGCTCATGTGGGTTTGCAATACAACGAGTCTTTGTCTCGACATCTGGCATGCATTAAAGGAAAACCCGCGTGTTTTAGGGCCCTCCTCTTCTTCATGTATAGATGTGTTCTTGGCGCTTTTGTCTTCAGAGTTGGCTGATATCTTACATGAGAACTGTAGTATACTGTGATCTCTCCGGCCGTCTGTCTCTCAATAAATATCAGTGTATTGACAGGCGAATCCAGTTTCCCTCATTTGATGATTGGCTCAACATTGCTGCAAAGAAGTTTTTACTTCACACTACCCATGTCTGTAAACAAACGTATTCAAATAAACTACCTTCATTTAATATTCAGCAATAATAATATCTCGACGTCTATAGTTGTAGTGTTGAAATCAGTAGGTTTCGGTGTGCAACACTCCGTGTCATATCGCTACTAAATTCACCTCTATAGTAAATGGTATATTAGCCACATGCTATATGCTAACCGGAGATGAAGGATTTTCAGAATAAAAGCTTAACAACTTGTTGTGCACAAGAACTTCTGGTTTTTCAGTATAAAACAGCATTTAAACTGACGGTATGTTTAAGGTACTTTATGCCATCAAAACATTGATTTTAATTTCTAACAAGTCCCATTCAAATCCCCCGTGTTCCGCCACCTGCTGCACCTTTTAATTCTCCATTGTCCATTGTGATACTGCACTTTATGTACTTACGTTTCAAAGGCCTGTAAGCTACAGTTTGCACTGTTTCAATACATGAAACTAATTTTCTCACAACATCTTTTGATTCATTTTGTCCAGCCTTTGTAAGCTGTAGACTCTGTCTAGTCAGAGCCATATATTGTATAATTGATGCTTTCAGTTTTCAGTTGAATTAATTCAATCCAAGTCAATGGAACACTCACAAGATGTCACCAAAATCACACTGTCCCTTTAAAATCTTTCAGAAAATGATATAAGTGTATCGAATTGTATCGAATCGTATCGTTGGCTGAATATCGTGATATATATCGTATTGTGAGCTGAATATCGTGTATCGTATCGTATCGTGAGATTAGTGTATCGCTACAGCCCTACTCAGGATACATGCTTTGTTGACTGCTAATAGTATCATGTAGCTGACTTAGCGCCGCGCTAGCATTGGCATCTGGTGGAATATATACTGCAGTTATCAATACAACATTGAACTCCCTCGGAAGGTATCTAGGTCGGCATTTAACAGTCATAAATTCTAGGTTCGGGGAACAGAGGTTACTCACAGTGATTGTGCCCCAATAATCGTTAGTGTATATAATGAGGCCACCACCTCACGTTTTCCCCAACAATTCTCGGGTCCTGTCTAGTCTATGGGAGGGGTGGTCAGCTAGCTCGATCCAATGGAGCTTTCCTAGATGGTTTGGTGAATCAAACCATCTGAGTCAGGTTAGTAATGCTCACATGTTTTACATCTATTACAGGGTGAATCTGAAACTTGACTTTAAAGCAACCCAACGGAAGTTTCATGTAAGTGTAGTTCTTTCTCTCGTAGCTCGGTCTGCAGGGGTGCTAGAGACGGGAGCACGTTGATACGACCTTCCTAGCCGGAGATATAGCCGCATTTTACAATAAACTTCCGCTGGGTTGCTTAAAAACAAATATTGCAAATCAAATCGCAATATCTGTCAGAAAGATCGCAATTAGATTATTTCCCCAAATCATGCAGCCCTACTTTACATCTGTGACTGTGTCTGTTCTGCAGTACTGCAAAGCTACCTGGTACAAGTGTTTGTCAACAGCTTTCAAATCAAAACTGCTCCAGCTGTTAATAATCTGCTCAAATATTGTTGGTCCACCCTGTCAGAGACTTCCTGACTCAGCAGACCATAATAACCTGAGAGGCTGTCCAACAACATCACCTGGGACCCAAAGCATGCTCTGAATAGAGAATATGAACTGCTGCCATCTAATGGAGATTCAATAAAGTCAGACTGAAGCCTCCTTTGTGCTCCAGTCAGTCCTCTCAGTAAACACAGAGCTGAATCCAGATCAAAAGCACGCTGAAGGCTCTTTGAGCAGGTTGTCTCTCGCTGATCCTGCTGTTATGTTACATGTTTGTTTTTCATGTATTGTGTCTTGATATTAGTTTATGTTGATGTTACACATGGAGCTGCTGTTACACTATGCAAGTCACATTTCAGACTTGATCTGACCAATACAGTGTTATCGTGTCGTAATGTACAACAACGTTCTAACCTATATCCAGGGCCGCCCCTGGCCAACTTGGGGCCCCAAGCGACATTGTGAGATGAGCCCCCCCCCCCCCAACCGACAGGAGTGAACTTTTTTTTTTTGGAAACAAAGTAGGCTACTTTGCAAATATAATTCCTGTTTATTATTATTATCAACGGTTACTTTTTTATACAGTGAGGTAAATGGTAAATGTGCATGTTTGTCGTTCATTATGCGTTTACAGGTGAATTTTGCATTTCCTGCCAAATACTAGCCTCAAAAAGATAAAAACATAATTAATGCAAATAAACTACTTCTACTAATAATCATAATCAATTCAATAATAAAAATACTATATTGTTTTATTATAATATAGTCAAGACAAAACATGCTTATGACATGCTCAAAAACTGATATTTCTTAAATCTGTATTCTAGTTCCCTCTGTCAGCAATGTATCAACAACTACACACACATTGCTATCAGTATTTCTCTGTGTTGTGGTTGACATGAGGATGACTGTTGGGAGTTAAGGGGAGAGGCTGAGCGTCACCATGACGATGACTGTTAGGAGTTAAGGGGAGAGGCTGAGCGTCACCATGATGATGACTGTTAGGAGTTAAGGGGAGAGGCTGAGCGTCACCATGATGATGACTGTTAGGAGTTAAGGGGAGAGGCTGAGCGTCACCATGATGATGACTGTTAGGAGTTAAGGGGAGAGGCTGAGCGTCACCATGACGATGACTGTTAGGAGTTAAGGGGAGAGGCTGAGCGTCACCATGAAATGTGCAAGTTGACATAAAAATGAATAAAAGGGGAACAAATGCTCCATGTTTTTTAGGCTGTAAACTTTAACTGTTATGTAAGCCAAGTAGACAGACAGTGTATCTCTCTTCCTCCTGTACATCAGCAGATAAAAGGCATCACATACTTGAATGAATGGTAAATAAAGAATGCTGGAAATAACTGCATCTCCATTAGCCTGTATGCTATGCAGAGACTGCCTTCTTCATGTCGTGAATTGCAGCTGATGTTTTAATATGGCAATTGGCAATTTGACTTCTACAACATTCGTAAGTTGTACATTTGACTCATACAATAACCCACCTTCGAGTGATGCTCTAGTTTATTCATGTTTTGTTTTTTGCGCCGGACTGAAACTGTCTTTTCACCGACATCTCTTCACCTGCACTAGTGGCCGTATCAAAGCCGTGATTGGTCAGATGTCGATTCATTGCAACGGTGTCGGGTTACAGACGTGCTCCTCTTGTCACCTCTCACGGCCCGTCCACACAGCGGCGTGCGCCGCACTCTCACTCTCGCGGGGGGTGCGCGGATAACTGAGCGGAGAACTGCGCACAGCAGCTGAGGCCCTCTGGGCGGGGCCCCCTGCGCAAGGCGGGGCCCCATGCAGCCTGCGTGATTGGCCTGTAGGGAGGGGCGGCCCTGCCTATATCTGACCATATTGTGTATTCATATTGTATTCTCTAAACAGGTTGTGATCTTTCATTTGGGGATAACAGTGTTAGGAATATATTGTGATGAAGTGCACACTGACCTGATCTCCAGGGGTCTTTTTATTCTCCTCCATGCTGCTCTCAGTGCTCCTTCTCCGGCTGTGTCTCTGAAATAATCAACACAACTACAGCTGACACAAAACAAGACAACTCAATACAACCGACAGACACAACTAAACATATCTACAGCTACTTCGTAGGGTCAAAGCAGAGGTGAGAAGTAACTAAGTACATTTACTCAAGAACTGTACTTAAGTACCATTTAGAGGTACTTTTACTTTACTTGAGTATTTCTATGTAATGCTACTTTGTACATTTAGAACAGTTCAGAGATAAATGGTACTTTTACTCCACTACATGCATTTAATACCTTTTAGTTACTTTACAGATCTGGATGAAGGATGGGGAAAGCGAAGCAAGGGGGTAATCAGACGAGTGGCCACCGGGAGGAAAGGCACAAGCGACCCGGCAGCGGGGACACACACACACACACACATCACACACACACACACACACACACACACACACACACACACACACACACACAACACACACACACACACACACACACACACATCACACACACACACACACACACACACACACACACACACACACACACAACACACACACACACACACACACACACACACACACACACACACACACACACACACACACACACACACAACACACACACCACACACAACACACACACACACACACACACACACACACACACACACCACAACACACACACACACACACACACACACACACACACACACACACACACACACACACACACACACACACACACACACACACACTACCTCTCTCTCCTCTTCGTCCTGGTTCCTCAGTCTTTCTTCTCCTTGATAAAACACTGCCGTTAAAACACACTAATCTCCCTTTAATGCCTTTACTTGTGCGATCATGCTATACGTGGTATACAAAGCTCCGAACAAAGAACGGGAGGCAACAAAAACACGGTTTAACGGATAAATCACCGTCCAATGATAAACTAGCTCATTGCATGTGTTTTAAAAGTCTCTTAAACACATTACATTCGGTATAACATCTGCATCAACGTCTGTTAGCAACGTATAGCTTCTGAGGACCGGAAGCTAGAAACGAACGGCCGCAATGCATCATGGGATTAGAGTTTTTCTTTTAAACATCATTTCACTACCCCCTCTGGTGAAAACATTGAAAACACTATCGCTATTAAAATAAATAATAATTACAATATTAATAATAATAATATATATGTAAAGATGAAACGGTCAGACGGGTTTTAAAAGTTGTGGAAATGTTTTTGTTTGTAATAATACTTCTTTATAATGATTGATCAAGTGTTCTCAAAGCTGGTAAAGATGCAGCTAGTTTGAATGACTTTGTATTCTGAGGGACAAAACAAGAATTGGACAAAAAATAATAATAATAATAATAATAACATAATAAAAAAATTCATTAGGAATTACAAATAAAAATAGTTAAAGAAAATAATAATGAAAGATTTAATAATCTTGGAAAAAATTATTAGTTTTTTGTGATTGAAAACACTATTATTAATATAATAGTGTTTTCAAATAACAAATATAATAAAATAAGAAGTAAAATAAGAAAATAAAAAAGTAAGAATAAAATAATGTAAAAATAAAAAAATAATTGAAATAAGAAAATAATAATTAAATATATCAAATAAAAAAATTATATAATTTATAATGAAATCACAAAAACTAACTTGAAAAAAATATAAAGAAATGTTTATTTTTTTCTAAAGCAAGAATGATACAATTAAGAATTAAATACATTCTTTTTTTCAACTATTGTTATATTATATATATGTATTATAATATATGTATATTGAAAGCAATGCATCATGAGATTTTAGTATTTATTTTCAACAGCAATTCACGGTATTAAAATAAATAATAACAATAATAATAATAATAATAATAATAAATAATACAGACTACTGCAACTCTACTGCAACTCCCTCCTGGCTGGTCTACCTGCATGTGCCATCCGACTTCTGCAGCTCATCCAGAATGCAGCGGCTCGTCTGGTCTTCAACCTTCCTAAATGTTCCCACACCACTCCGCTCCTCCGCTCCCTTCACTGGCTTCCGGTAACTGCTAGAATCCACTTCAAGACAATGGTACTTCCGTACCATGCTGCGAATGGATCTGGCCCTTCCTACATCCAGGACATGGTTAAACCGTACACCCCAGCACGTGCACTCCGCTCTGCATCAGCCAAACGACTCGCTGCACACGCACTGTGAGGGGGACCCAAGTTCCCATCAGCAAAAACACATGGGTTTGCTATCCTGGTTCCAAGATGGTGGAATGAGCTCCCCATTGACATCAGGACAGCAGATAGCTTACACACCTTCCAGACTGAAAACTCATCTCTTTCGACTCCACTTCGAGCGATAGAACTATTAACAAAGCACTTATATACTAATAAAGGACTGGCTTATCTAAATCCAGTTGAGTAGCACATGAAATGTTTGGCTCTATGAAACCTGATGTACTTATATGATTCTGTTTTCTTCAAGTTTGTGTCTTCCTGGTCGAACGCACTTATTGTAAGTCGCTTTGGATAAAAGCGTCAGCTAAATGCAATGTAATGTAATATAAATATGGGACTGGTATGACAGATTTTAAACATTGGGAAAACATTTTTTGTTTCTGATAATACATTTTTTTTAATATATATGTTTTATAATGATTGATCATGAAAGTGTTCTCAAAGCTGGTGAAGGTGCAGCTAGTTTGAATGGCTTTGTATACTGCAGGGTAGCTTGTGAATTTACTCCAGGTGGAACTAAAGTCTGATTCAACACTTGATTATATTTCACGTCATTCATCCAGATCTGTGAAGTAACTAAAGGTATTAAATACATGGAGTGGAGTAAAAGTACACCATGTACCTCTGAACTGTAGTGGAGTAGAAGTACAAGGTAGCTAAAGTAAAGTCCAAGTTTCTCCAAATTGCACTTACGTACAGCAGAGTCCTGCACGGGTCTGATTTTCAAGACCCGCTCCCGCCCCGCACCCGCGACGTGCAATACCGAACCCGCCCCGCTACCCGCACCTATTGCCAATTATTTCCGCAACCCGACCCGACCCGTCGGTACAAGATCCCCGACCCGAACCCGCATACTGTATGAGCAGTGAAAACGTGCAATTATTAACACACGCAGTTGCATATTTGTCTCAAAAAGCGTGGGATGTTGGTTATTTTCTCCATCTAGGAACCAAAAGCCTCCCAGACGTTGGATTTCGCTCTTGAGGAAGTGTTATTGAAAATGCTGTATTCTCCGCTAGAGAGCTTCACCTCAGCCATTTCGAATGTGGCGCGCACAGCAGCAGATTGATGCGCTGCAGAGGTTATGATTATGCGCGGTCCCGCGGGGGAGAGGTCTGAGGATTTAAACATTAAACTAAATTATTATTATTTTAATATATGTAGGCCTACTATGCAACACCCGCGACCCGACCCGCATCATCTTTGTTTTACCCAGAATCGAACCCGGAAAAAAGCGTTTGAAAAAATACCACCCGCGAATCGCCTTTTTTGCGGGGTACCCGACCCGATGCAGGACTCTGACGTACAGTACTTGAGTAAATGTACTTTACACCTCTTTTAAAGATACATCTAAAATGATCATACAATCACTCAAATAGGAAGTAATTGCGTTTTTGGTTTAGATATATTTACTAATTTTTACTAAATGATGGCTTGTCAGAAAGTGTTTCCAATCACCAACAGAAATGTGACTTGCTTTTTGCTGAATTTGTAACTCATTGGCCAACTGTAAGAGTCGGTGAGGACCTGATAATTTATTCCGGGAAATTACTCAGACCTACTAATTGACCTAACCGAAGTTATTGAGTCTATGTAAGTTTACTGCTTGGCTCAGATCCACCAACGTCAGCAAGATCTCACCTCTATTAACTCCTGAAGAACCAGGTTCAATGAACTGCTGTTTCAATTCAGACAACTCTCTTAAATCTGTTTAAGCGATCCCGAAGGATTTTGATATCAGTAAATGAGGTGTGGCCCTACCTAAGTGTGAGTGTGGCAGGGTGCAATCTTACCTTTGAAGCAGGAGAGGAGAGCGTAGATGTCTTTTAAGTTGTCCCAATCCAAAAGGTGGGATCAGTTTATTTGAAGAAAAATAGGTCCAAACTAATACAGGGTTTTTACCTTCTCTCTTTACAACATTATAATCATACTAAACATATCATGCTGGGGTTATTTTCTAATCTAAAATCATAATTCATAGTTCACCTATTAAAGTCTTCTGACAAAATTCAAAAGGAATTTCCTCGTGGTGGCGAACGTTCTCTAATTAGTTCTAAAATCCTGACACATTTAAGAATGGTAGGCTTAAGAATTCCAACTCATTTAAAGAATGCTTTGGTCCAAGAAGTCCATCACATTTAAAGAATGCTTTGGTCTAAGAAGTCCATCACATTTAAAGACTGCTTTGGTCTAAGAAGTCCATCACATTTAAAGAATGCTTTGGTCTAAGAAGTCCGTTATATTTAAAGAATGCTTTGGTCTAAGAAGTCCATCACATTTAAAGAATGCTTTGGTCTAAGAAGTCCGTCACATTTAAAGACTGCTTTGGTCTAAGAAGTCCATCACATTTAAAGAATGCTTTGGTCTAAGAAGTCCATCACATTTAAAGAATGCTTTGGTCTAAGAAGTCTGTCATATTTTAAAGAATGCTTTGGTCTAAGAAGTCCATCACATTTAAAGAATGCTTTGGTCTAAGAAGTCCATCACATTTAAAGAATGCTTTGGTCTAAGAAGTCCATCACATTTAAAGAATGCTTTGGTCTAAGAAGTCCATCACAGTTAAAGAATGCTTTGGTCTAAGAAGTCCATCACATTTAAAGAATGCTTTGGTCTAAGAAGTCCGTTCAAAACTTTAATCTAAACCATTTCCTCAGCATTCAATACACAGAGATTTAAGCAATAGTTACCCAGCTCGAGAAAACCTTACCGAGAGCAAAAACCCAGCTCTGAGGGACAGAGTTTACCGGGAGAGAGTATACCAGTGGAACCCCCCCCCCTCTTTCTCTGCTTGCTCCCAAAAAGCCAGTGTCTTTATGCTCAACAACAGGATAGAAAAACCTAAAGACACCTCCTCCATGCCTATATTTGTGGAAACTGGGCATGGCCTCTGATGTACAGGACTGGACATGACCAGACATATTCTATGGCTATGACATAACCACTCTGCCTGGCACTTGCAGGAGCGGGGGCCTATCTGTGGTTCCGGTGTAGACTCCTAAATCCATGTTGCTATCTGATGTAAATCCTTGACCCTGACCATGGAGGAGTTGAGGTTCCTCCCTGCCAGATAACTCGGTCGACAGTTGTTATGGATATTTTAGACCTCGTCAATAATCGCTCACGGTTGAGTTGTCGTCTTTCCAAGTGAGCCCTCATCACGAGGCGGAGAGGCTCCATCTGTTGGTGTGTGTAGATTCACTTGGTTGACTTTGTGACAAGGTCAATGAGGCCCCACACAATGATAGCATAAACGAGGAACCAGAGGCAGAGGAAACAGCTTAGCTGGCACTCGCTCATGAAATCCTGTGTGTGCAGTGTGAGATTAGGTGTATGTGGTGCGAGTGTGGTGCTGGTGGTGACTTGGCACGCACTTGTTGTCGTGTTTCTACCGTCTCTCCTGGCCTGTGACTACGACCTTGCAGTGGCTGGCGTGGACCCACGTGGCTCTCTCGGTGACCTTGACCGCTGTCTGGGTGACGAGAAGCACCTGGTAGGGACCTTGCCAACGGTTGGAATTCCAGCTCTTTCTCCGGAAGTCCTTCACCAGCACGGAGTCGCCGGATTGGAGATGGTGAAGTGGACCAGTGGCAGGGGTAGGTAGGGCTGTTGCTACCTGGCGTCTGATATCTGACCATGCAGTTATCAGGTAGTCGTCGTCCTTTTTGGGAAATCCACTGCGATCTGAGTGGCTCAGCGGGTAGAGATGCAGCCTGTCCCACAGAGCTGGAAGAAACATCATCCTCCACTGGCAGGGGTACAGGAGACTCAGCCGCTGATCCATGCTGCACAGGTTTCCTGGGTCCAGAACTTGGCTTCACTTGAGGCACTGTGAC